AAGGGTTGGATGAACCCCTGAAAGATGAGAACCTCTTGCTCTTCTTCTCTCAAACAAGTTTCGTACTAATCTAATGATAGTATGGCTTATGAAGGTCTGGACTTCCACAAATCAAGGAAGGCATGAAGCCCTGGGAAAGTCCATAGACACTAAACAAGTTGGCTTCTTGCTGTCAACCAGCAGGCAGCTTCCAACACTCTCTTGATGAGCCTGGGCAGCTGTGTTTTATGTTTCCGTGTGGCCTTGCCAGAGTCCCTCCCCTTAGACAGACCCAGCTTCCACAATTAGTGTGGACTCAAAGTGAGTTAGTTATGGAATATTTTAGGTCCCAGAGGCCTCGTAGCACAATTTACACCTCTTTGGACTATTTCCAGGACCCCAGATTATACTGCACGTGTAAATTAAGGAAGTCTTACAGTTCAACTCTACCTGAAACATGCAACGTGGCCAGACCTTATGTCCCATTTTCCAGTATTTTTCTTGGTCTCATTTTAAAAATTTTACTATCCTTAAAGATAAACTTTGTATTCTTAAACTCATGCCTTAGAAAGGATTTCTGTCTTTCTCTTTCCTGAATGTGCCTGGTACTATTCCTCCAGTTTAAAAAAGACAAATTAACTTCTTTCCATGTCATTAAAGTTATTGAGGGCTCTATTTGCATTCACCTGGCCAAGTTATACCATCCAGCTCCTATATCATGCTATTTCTTTACTTGAAATAATAAATTGGTTTCACTTAATACAAAGCCAGATGAAGTCAACCTGTGTACTTAATAGTGGAGAACATACATTTAGCAGTGATATGGAAAAAAAAAAATCAAAAACACTTCCCAGGTTGGCAACCAGTGTAAGTTATAGATCATACATTCTAAAAATCCTAAGATGTGAATAGTTCTTATTTAAGTTCCTAATATGTGGTTTCTACTATATGCTCAGAGAATCTGAGCCTGGGTTTGGTGTTTTCTCTCTTCCACTCTTCTCTCTTTCCTTTTCTCATGGGTCTTCTTGTCTTCCTAGGCCAGGTCTCCAACCACATATCTCAGTTAGACACTGACTCCTAACAGCACAGGACACAACGCACAGGCCCTTAAACATTTGTTGAATTTGTTTTGGAATTTGTATAAGGAAATCTATGATGTCTGGAGAAGCAATGCAAGTCCAAGAATCAGGAACTTACTTAGAAGTACAAGATTTGATTATTATAATTCTGATAGTAAGCTTTTGATGTTTACTTCATATGTACCCAGCACTCTATTCAAAGCTTTAAAGATATAATATCATTTTACTTTAGTTAATCATCACAATATCAAACAACATGGCATCCCTAATTCCTTGAGGAATAAAGTGAGACTTTGAGAAGAAAAAGTCAGATTTCCATAGCTATATAGCTATTACGAATTATTTTACTGTGATTAATATGCATGTCCATTCAAGGTCAAAATTAATGCCGCTCTTACCCTGTCAAGTCTGGCCCCTAATTTTTCATGTATTAAATGTGGAAATTTTAGCAGTCACTAAGTTCTCTTCCACATTTAAGATGTTCCAGACATAAGGTCACACATATTTTAAGAAAATTTACATTTCTGTTTCAGTTTCATTTATTGATTAAAATCCTGCAAGAGACAAAGGAATAGCTTTCCAAACCTGGCTATTCAGGAGCTCTGAGAGGAAATAGAAGGGGTTTGGAGCAGCTTGAGTCTTTGTTGAGTTTTCTTACATACTCCTAAAGTAGAATAGCATTGTCCTCTTTATAGCAGCTAACATTTACTGATAACTTCCAATTACCAGTCACTATATCAAAAGTTTGTCTGTGTTACCTCAAATCACAAAACAATTCTTATGAGATAGAGCAATTGTTATTATTCACAATCAACAGCTGAGGAAACCATATTAATTTGCCCAAGTTCACCCAATTTATTCTTTTGTAAATCAGGAACTAAAACTCATGTATATTTAACTATGAACTGTAATTTTAACTTTGAGAGTATACTGTTTTTCTGTGCTATTTTTAATTTATTTCCCTATGGACATTTCATGTGATTTATATCAATGATTTTTCTGCTAAGAAATCCACTCAAAATTTTTTCTAAACACATACATCAGTGTGGCTTGTGTGGTGACATTAAACAGGTATCTCATGATGCATGCCGTTCAGTGCAATTAAATATTTTGGGGGTCATTCTCAGTCACATGCCTATGAGTTACAAGCTCTACTTTCCTCTCCCTCTAGATATTTCTTTCTGTCCAAAACAGATAGATTAACAAGCATCAAAAGAAAATAGACAACCCATACCAATGTGGTGATTTGCAAACTATGACCTGAGAAAAACCTCCTTAGAGAAAACATAATGCCTGTGTGGGTGATTGACATAACTGAAATCCTGAAACACTGAATGTGTTCCCACAGTTCATTCTATACTTATTAGAAGGGATTATTGACACTTTCAGAAGATACAATCTCAGGGACCCAGATAGCAAATTAACTTTGGTATTAAGAGTAATTGAAGTTAGATGTTACTCTGTGCACTAGGACAGCTTAATTTTCATTTTAACTGAGTTGTATTACATTATTATTAGCCTATTTACACGTATAAAGCAAAAATGCATGTACATTGTTATTCTGTTTTTATCTTATGAAATAATTAACTCCCAAATTAAGCTACATAGGAAGTATGGAAATGCAAAAAAAATTATTTTCTAAATATTGTAACTATTTGGAGGTGGGAAGATATTTTAGAAGCTATAACTGTTTAATCAAATAAGTATTACTTTATTTTTATCTTAGCCAAGTACATATTTTGTGAAATAACACTAATAAGGTGTGCTATTTTTCTCCAACTAAATTCTTCCCAATGAAATCCAACTGCAATATTCATTTAGAAATTTGATAATGCTCTCTTGTGTGAGTTTTAAGAATATCGGAAACCCTGTTGCATATAAATTATATCATGGAAAAGCTGTAAAATATTCTATTATGGCACATGCTGTTCTAAGGATCTGTCAGGATTTCCTTTATACACTCCATTTTGATTGGTATATAAATCAGATGTAAAAATTCATGTTAGACTGAAACTCAGCACAGAAAGCCTCCTCCAGAGGCAAGTGCTTTTTTCAAAATGTGGTTTGAATTATGTTGGTCATTTTTAAGTTATAGAAGTGCAGAAAATATATTTGTGGTTTTGAAGGAGAGAGATTTTTTTCCATTTTTATAACTCATTAGGAAACTTTACAGGCTCTTAGACCATTTTGTGGTTTAGTTCTTCTCAGGTTTTTCCCCAAAGCAATATTAAAACTTGAGTGGTGTCCGCTCTGAATCCAATGATTACCGTTCTGAATATAAATGTGTATGTATATGTACAGTTATAGAGATCTTCCACCAGAAGTTGCAATAATATCGCAGCTGAGGTGAAAGATTAAGCCTATCTGTTGCCCATGCTCTACTCTTGGCACCAAGTCAAATTTGGTCTATTAAAGGAATTCCCTATGTAAACACTAGTTTACACACACACTGCCTCTCATTGTGAAACTGCATCTTTAACTTGCAGGAAAGACCACGGAGCTAAATACTGCTGCTTTTTTGTCAAAAATTTTTACCTTTCCAAATTCTGCTTTCCTTGTCACATGGAGCAAGTTGCTGAATGTTTAGTAGATCTTCAATGATGACCATCTCATTTGTAAAGTGCTATATATTATGCTAATGTATAAAATTAGTTTGTGTAGATAATGTTTCACAGATATCTAAATTATTATTTTAGCTTATGTAAAGATTATGATTATATTATCTCTTAATAGCAAGAGTTAAGATCTGGCAAAGTTTTATTTGAATTTAAAAAGTTGGCTAATTCACAAAATTGATTAAGCTACTCTCTCAAATGATTTTAAAAGACTACACAAATAGAAACATTTCATAGGTTTGAATTGCTTTAACCTATATTACATTTAATTCACTTGCAACAAATTTCATAGCTAGAATTGCTTTATATAGTAAAACATAAAAGGTTAATATTTCCCAATGTCACATTACCCCTAGCACAGTTGCTAGAATCTTTGGGTTTGTGGATGGTTATGATGGATTACTCAGAAAATAATCAAACATTTATTTGCCCTTCGCTAGAGGACTCTTTTCTTTGGGACAGTGTGAGAAGCAGAAGGGGTCTCACTCCTGAATGTTTTAGCTACTAACTTAGTGTCATGGAAATTAACCAACTCTGCATTATAGAGAGCTGGATACCTTGGCTTCCCCCAGACCTCCCACTTCTTCACATTAACAGGAGAACAAGATTACTAATGAGAGGTCCAATCCCAAATCTCTGATCTATATAGCCGAACATCCTTATTTCGATGTGGGTCACTTTTTTTTAAAAATTCTGCTCCATTTACCTTTACTAAACCATATTAATTTCTGTTTTATAATGCTGCATTTGGTTATAATTATAAGGTTTTATGTGCAATTTATACATCACTCATATCTGTTAGTTTATCATTAAATTCCTATCTCTTAAGATTTAACCTAGCATGGATCACTCCAAATATCCTTGTATGACTCAATCAGTCATTAAAATGTTGCAACTTTTGGGAGGAAGTCTACAAGTTTCTGAGTGCTAGTCACATTGAAATGTAGTTTTATGTTAATCAAATGTGTTCCAAGGTACAGCATAAACATTTAAAAACCACTGAATAGATATATATTTTAGTTTTATACATGAAGAATCTATATTTCATGGGTTGAAATTAAGCAATGTATAACTTAGTAGGCAAAAAATAGACACATTGCAGTCTCCCCCACCATCTATTACATCATACCCTTATTTCCCCCCACATTTGGAGAAAGAATACCATAGTGTTATTATTTGAATAGTATTGAGCTGTTAAAGTCTGACACCACTCTGTTTTCTTTATCAAGCAGTACATTTTAAAACAGAATAACTTACACGTGAAAGAATGGCATTTTTAAAACTTTAAAAAAATATGAATATTAAAGAATATAAGATACAGCCTCACCTTGATTTTACCTTTAAGCAGCCTTTTATTTGTCTACTAGAAACTTCTTCCGATGGCTTTACAGGCTCTGGCTCTTGTTTTTTCTTTTGGCAAACTAATGTATAATTTGTGCCATTATTATTTGACCAAAATGTACCAGCAGAAGTTTCATAGCGTATACAAAACTCAACTTTAATGCCATCTCTTTGGTAAGGAGGAACCAATGAAATCTTAAAAGAAAACTGGTCAGTTTCCCCATCACATGAATTAGGAACATACTCTGCTAAAATGTCATAATATGTCTGCCAGTCATCTAAGGACATTCTCACATACACTAACTTCTCAAAAGATATATTCAAAACTCGAATAATCCCCTTCATACTTGTAGACCCAGGAAGATACTCAGTTGACTCCAGGATTGCTTTCTGTATTTGAAGTTGTTGCATAAGTTCTTCTTGTGAAGAAGGCAAATCAAAGAGTGGAGCTAAAACATATTCTTCTGTGTGAAAAAAATCCTTGTTTAAGTCAAAATCAGTTGAAACACTTGGTAATTCCCAGCAATCAAATTCTTTAACAGATACAAGATTGAATCCAAAGTTGTCAGCAAATGAAACTCTTCTGGAACCTGAAGTTGGTGTGTCCAGGTACATGTCTTCAGAAGACTCAGAACCTCGTCTACTTGGCTGAGGGGAGAAACCAGGTTTGAAGGTAGATTTAACTTCTTCATCTTCACAAACAGAACTAGATAAGTTAGGAACTTCTAAAAAATTATCTTTGCTAACCTGACTTGGTACTTCAGCAGGCTCCATTGGTCTCTCTGGTATCAAATAAGCGAGAACTGTACAACTAGTAGGAGCTGATATTTGAGATACTGAGGCTTAAAATAAGTGTAATGTTGCAGTTGACATTGCAAAAAGGAGTCAGCTCTATAAATAGGCCCAATGGCGTGTAAACTATGCTAGCCTGTTTCCAAAGGCCTTTAATATGATAGCACCCAGGCTAACTCTCACCAGTATGTCTCAGATTTAACTCTCAATTTTAAAAGTTTCATTTGTTTATGTGTTGAGTTTCAAAGCCATTTCAAAATCATTTTTGCTCTTAGAAATTCTGAAACCTTAGGATAAAAAATATTATTTTAATCAGTTGATATTAAGAATAAAAACCTAAATCATATTTTAAAGGGAAATGAATGTGTAGTTTACAATAAACTGATTCATGAAGCAGGCAAGGGCAGACTGAAGATGGTGAGAACATTTATAAACTTAGATGTGGAGCCTAATAATGCTAGCTAGCACCATCAGCGATTTGCCTTGTGAAATGTTTCCTGTAAAAGGGTTAAACAGAGACACTGAAAGTTCTGAGGAAGGAAACATGATAAACCATGAAGTTCCAGTAGCTCTAAATGTGCAGGATTGAACTGAGGTAGATTTTCCAGGTGGAAGAAAGAACTATCCAAAGCTGTTATTTCAAACATTAGTAAGGATTTTTTTTTTTATTAAGCTGTGTTATTGACCTGAAAATATAAGTGGGCAAAGGTGAGACTGACCAAGAAATAAAATATTAATGCAAAATAATATATTCATCTTTGACAAATTGCCATTTTATGCCTATAAAAAAAAGTTGATACCATGATATCTTGGAGTTCAATGTGAATTTTAAGTGTGAACAGTCTATTTGGATTTTCACAGTATTTTTTGTGCAAATATAAAGCCCACATTAGGGATGGAATTTTGATTTAAAAAAACTATTAAAAATGTAAATGCTTAAATGCCTTAACCCAGAAATGCAAGAGCTACAGGTCTGTCTTATCAATATGGGTAAATACAGGTATATGTTCGTAACAGAATCGTTTACTTAAAATCTGTAAAATCTATTTAAGTGTGTCATCAGCAGAGAACTGAATAATATTACACCCTTTCAATATTATATTTTATAGTTTTTAAGCAAATCAAGTAGCACTTTATGAACTAATAAATAGCTAAGTGAGAAAAAGAATATGTGCCTAGAGATTGTTTGAAAGATGCAAGAGAAAACATTAGCAGTACTTACCTCTAACTCATCATGTGCATTGAAGTCTGCAGGGAAAAGGGCTTTCTCATTTATTTCACTTCATAGTCTTCTAAGCTGTTTGAAATGTTAGACATGAGCCTAGTGTTCTTTTCAAATATCTGTAAATTGAACAAAATTAAATTGAAAAATATAAAGTTTGAGAGATGACTGGTCTTTTTCAAAAACAGAGAGTCCAGCGGCATAATTTCTTTCAGCTGACAACTTCAAATATATGTTATAACTTATTGAATAATTTGAATTGCATAAAGTAGTAGAAGGAGAAGTTAATTTTCAAAATAAAAAGGATGTTGTAGAGAAGAATAAGGAAATGAAATTATTTCGTCTTTACCTCATCCACATAACTAGGATAGGTGATGATTCCATGGATTGTTTGAGAATGACAAATGGCTATCTCTTTCAAACTTGATGACTAGGGATAGCCAGGTTTCAATGTACGTAAAATATAACATATCTAGTCAAGGAAATTAGCAACAAAATACTTCATAGACTTAGTAAAAGAAGTCATACTGCATTTAAATAGTAGAATAATGAAAATTCACTTTGCAATAATGTATTAAGCTAATTTAACTATCCAGTGATTCATGGAGACAAAGAACCTTGGGACTGTATCTTGGCTCTGCTTCTTACTAGTTGGAAGACCTTCAAAATGTTGCTCAAATTTTCTAACCCTTAGTTTCCCTGTTTCAATGCAAAGGTAACAAATAAGATGCTTATAAAATGTCTAGCACAAACCCCATAGTAATAGTAGTAATCATTATTACTTATTCTTACATATGTGAAAAACTGACTTACAAGATATTTCACTACATAATAGAGTTATGCTAAAGACTCCATATTTTCTAATATACAATATACATATAATATCCATATAACAGTAAGAAGCTTTCTGTAAATTTTCATATTCATCTTTTTCAAAGACTATAGTATGTAACATTTACTTTTACAAAACAGAAAATAGCTCTACATTAGAAAATGTTCCTATAATTTGATCCAAACTTTTCCTTTTTTAATGTGTCTCTTTATACAGAGCACTACTTCCTTGATTTGTAGTAATCACTGTCTTTCTTAGGGAGTTTATAACCTCCATATAATTGTAGACAGTTGACATGTTCCCCCTTAGTCACCACTTAGCTAAAGCAAAGTGATTTCATCTTTTAATCTCTTCTCACATGTCAATCCTCCAGCATTTTTTATCATCTTGCTACTTGTCAGTGATCTCCTTCCAGATTTCCTTTATTTTTCTGTTAATAAGCTACCTCATGATAAATTTAATAGCACAGAGGAAATGTCTCAGAAGCATGAAGACACTATCATCCTCATCCTTGTGCCTCGATGTTTGTATTTAGTTAAAATTTACAATTCCCAGCTTCAGTTCTACATAATAGATCAACATTTATTTTCGGAATTTCAACACAACTTTTACCGTACTCCTCAACTGCTTAGGTAGACTGACATTAAGCAGAGGGAGAGCTTGTTAATACTAAGGCTCAGGTCTTTAGCCATCCTACACCCTCTTTTTCTATTAATCAAAGATTCTCAAAAGTACTTTAACATAAAAGAAAGATAAGTCAGCATCCCAGTAAATAGGACACAGATGGCATGCTCAAATAAGATAATTCCAAGACAATTCATTTATAAGGATCTATTTATAAACTGTAAATACAGAAAAGCCACAAGGACTAGTATGACAAACTGAGGCCAGATAATCAGAACTATTACCATCTTTCAAGGAATATGGAAGTGGCATTATTACTCAGAACTTGTAAGCAGAAAGTGCCATAGTCTAATAAAGAGCTAATTAGTTAGAGACCTGGCCAAGGGATACATCCAGCTGAAGATAACCTTGCTAGAAGTGATCTAGAATCATAAGTATGTTGAATTCATAATCTCCCTTTCCTATAATACCCTACATGGTATCATTGACCCAAAGGCATAGGGCTTATGTTCATTCAGATCAGTCTCCTGGAGAACCACACAGGGAGAAAAAGGGTTAAAAAAAGGCAGTGAGTAGATTTTGAGGAGCAAACAGAAGATACCAGAGGTTATATATATTATAGTATATTACACTATACTATACTACGTTAAATTATATTATATTGTACTGTATTATACTGTACTATATTAGAATATTATATGTGCATACATACAGAACTTAAAATACATATCCTCTTCTCTGTGCATATTCCTTCTCTGTGCCAATTGAGTTTCTGTTATCTGCTGTTTTATTGTCAAAGTTTAAGCATAAAAGCTTAAAAATTAAAAATCTACAAGCTCTGATCCAGTAGAAGTCACAAATAATAAAGATTGAGTTGGGATGGGGGCATAGTTCAAGTGGCAGATGCCTGCCTAGCAAATGTAAGCCTTGACATCAATTTCTAGAATTGCCAGGAAAAAACAAACGCACTGTTTACAAAAGCATTGTTTACAAAATGATTGCATTTATCTGCAAATGGGTGGAAAGTAAGTGGCCTTTTTTGAGATTAATTATAACTTTGTACTTGCTTCCTTTATTAGCTTAGCTCTTTCTCTGTAACTCAAACTCAAGAAATATTGTTTCAAAAGGAACTCTAGAAGAGTGACTCTTAACTGGAGATGCCTATCAAAATCACTAGGAGAGATGTTCAAATCATACAGACTTAGATGTACTATTTTCAATGGGTACAGTGGTTCTTGCCTGTAATTCTAGCTACTTGGAAGCCTGAGAAAGGGAAGACCATGGTTTGGGCAAAAAGTTGATAAAAACCTCATCTAAACGAATAGCTGGGTTGGGGCATGCACCTGTCATTGTAGCTTTGCAGGAGGCTGATTGGAGCATTGCAGTTCCAGAGCAGCCTGGAAAAAAAGTTCACAAGACCCTCTCTCAACAGAAAAAGCTGGACCTGGTGGTGTACACCTGCTATTTCAGCTACAGTGGGAAGCATAAAACAGGAGGATCGTGGTTCAGATCGACCCAGGCAGGAAACAAGACCCTGTCTCAAAAATAACCAGAGTAAAAAAGGCTGGAGATGGTAGAATGCCTGCCTGGCGAGCACGAAGTCTTGAGCTCGACCCCCAATACTGCCACACACACACACACACACACACACACACACACACACTGATCCCCTGGATGATGATGCTCCAAGTGATTTTGGTGCACAGACCTGTGTTCTTTTTGCTATGGAAATTATGCACTGCTTTAGACAAAAACATAGCATAGAGTGTATTAAAATTATAGAGTAGTAGAATTTTAAGGGCACTTACCAATCATTTAGGCTAATCTTTTCACATAAAAATGTTGAAATCCAAACATGAAAGTCCATCATTTAACAGCAGAGATAAGACATGAACTCAGTTTTTGCTTTTAGTTGAGCATTCTCCACATTACACCGTATATATGCTGACCTCTTGTTTTAATATTCATAATGAACAAAGCATTCAGTCTTTGAAAGTAGTCAAACTATACTACATATAGTTTATTTTTTCAGTAATTAACTTTTGTGAACTTTATTTTCTCCATTTGATGAAAGATCTCTGGGGGTGTCCAAATAATACTACCACTACTGTTCTTTGTGACAGGATCTCTCAGCATTTTCAACCTACATCTCCTCTTTGATGAGTATAAGATCTCAAACCATCATTTTTCTCCCGCAGAGACTCTGCTATATTTCTGTACGGGAATAACTATGCTACAAAAGTGACTTATGTAATCTCTTTAGAGCTGATACTGATACAGCATTTTATAAAGTTTGAGATGTAGATTTGTTCATCAGGTGCCAATCATT